AATGCACCTGCCAGGGCAATACAAAAGTATGTTATAGTAGGGGAAATAATCTTCAATAACATGTATATTAGGCAAACTTGCCTACAAAATTGTGTACATAAGGAGCTATTTGCAGTAAAATGCTGATAGATTTTAATAAGGACTTTGAGTAATTAAAAAAAAAGGTAGACATGTGGAAAACTGAACTTATGGTTGGAAAAATGAGAAACTGAGAGAACCCAAAACTGACACATTTACCCATTTGTAGGTCATAATAAAGTCATTTCAGTTCAATCCTTGCCATTGTGTTTTAATTAAATCTGGTGAATGCATGGCAAGCAAATATCCAGGAAAAAGCAATGATATACCCCTGAATTTGATTTTAAGCATTGAACCTGTCTCCTTAGCTTGAGAAGCAGCCATCGGCAGTGCAACACAATGCATCACACATTTGACACTCCTTGAAGAGTGTGCTTCTAAGAATGACAGCAGAGGGACATGAATTATTGGGAACTCTGAATCTTTGGGGACTGACAACATCTGTAGGAGTCAAGCTCCAGCTCCTCAGTTTGGAAGGAAAGCAATTAATTAATTCAAAAAAGGGGGGGTGGAATCTGACAATGTTGATGCTTATAGATTATGGTCCCACTGGTTTTTAAATGGATGACACATCAGAAGCCTTCTGCCAAAATATGCAAAAATATGCATAGGAGATAAAGTGAGGTCAGCTACTCAGCTAGTGTGGTTTGATGTTCTCTGAATGTAAGACTTTCTTATAACTAATGCAACAAAGCAATTTATTAGAGGCAGTTATTGCTGCTAGTAGCTCAGATGCCTTGCAAAAATGCAGTGAGCATAGATCGTAAATTGCAGGTGTGCATATTTAATCTAAATATTAGGAAGGATTTCCTAACAGCAAGTGATATTGGGCAATGGAACAGCCTGCCTCAGGAGGTGGTGGTTGGTTCTTCTTCGCTGCTTTCCACATTTAGTAGAAAACATTAATATTACTGAAAGCACCCTCCTGCTTTTGCACCTTATTACCCTTTGTCTTTTCATAAGATTTTCTACCAGGGCAAGAAATCAGGCTTTGGATGACTATCTCTGCAATGAGAACTGCATGTACTTTCAATGATGGGCAAACTCAAGCCAAGTTGTTGTTGTTTAGTCGTTTAGTCGTGTCCGACTCTTCATGACCCCATGGACCAGAGCACGCCAGGCACTCCTGTCTTCCACTGCCTCCCGCAGTTTGGTCAGACTCATGTTTGTAGCTTCGAGAACACTGTCCAACCATCTCGTCCTCTGTCGTCCCCTTCTCCTTGTGCCCTCCATCTTTCCCAACATCAGGGTCTTTTCCAGGGAGTCTTCTCTTCTCATGAGGTGGCCAAAGTATTCGAGCCTCAGCTTCAGGATCTGTCCTTCCAGTCAGCACTCAGGGCTGATTTCCTTAAGAATGGATACATTTGATCTTCTTGCAGTCCATGGGACTCTCAAGAGTCTCCTCCAGCACCATAATTCAAAAGCATCAATTCTTCGGCGATCAGCCTTCTTGATGGTCCAGCTCTCACTTCCATACATCACTACTGGGAAAACCATGGCTTTAACTATACGGACCTTTGTTGGCAAGGTGATGTCTCTGCTTTTTAAGATGCTGTCTAGGTTTGCCATCGCCTTTCTCCCAAAGAGCAGGCGTCTTTTAATTTCGTGACTGCTGTCACCATCTGCAGTGATCATGGAGCCCAAGAAAGTAAAATCTCTCACTGCCTCCATTTCTTCCCCTTCTATTTGCCAGGAGGTGATGGGCCCAGTGGCCATGATCTTCGTTTTTTTGATGTAAAGCCAAGTAGTGACCATCAAATACAATACTAGTTCTTTGTAGACATCTGGTTGACCACTGTGAGAGCAGGATGGTATGCAATCCCCACCCCACAGCATACACAGCTTTTGTCCTCCCCCCCCTCTTTTTTCCTTTTGGTTAGAGATCTGCATACAAAATTCACAGAAGCATGAATTTTAAAGGTTAGCTGTGATTCAGTTTGTGTATTGGTTCAGGAAGCACCAATTAAGTAGGTTTGCATTACAATGCAAATGGGGGGTGGGGAATCCCCTATTTTTATCTCAGTCTACTGCTGGCAAATCCATTCTGGATTTTCTGAAATCTACTACTGGAGTTTTGCTGAAACAAAATAAATTCATTCCACGCAACACTTTCTATAATTTTGGGCACAGCCTTGGAAGCTGCCTAAGATTGTACAGAGAGCTTTTCTGTTTCAGAGATTCATGGTCCACACGTACTTAAGTAACTTAACCAATATTTCAGCCAAATTCATTAAAGCATATATGGTAAATGGGTCAACATAAATGAACAACTTAATGAAGCTGTTGAATAAGAAGGAGAAACTGGCACCACATATTATATTAAGTACCAATTAAACAATTTAAGTCAGGAGTTCCGAGGCTTACCCTGGATAAAATATACCTTTTTTTGCAACAGCTCCAACCCAAACTAAAATATTGCCATTTTATAACAAATTGGTTGAAAGTCAGATTTCTTGCCTAAGTAATTCAGAAAATGCAAAGTGGAAGAAGCAGTACTTAGAAGTGGGGGGGGGGGGGAGGTTCTGATATTCATATACAGTGGTACTTTGGTTCCCAAATGGCTTAGTTGTCGAACAAATTGGCTCCTGAATGTCACAAACCCAGAAGTAAGTGTTCTGGTTTGTGAATGTTTTTCGGAAGCCAAACGTCTGACGCGGCTTTCACTTGACTACAGGAAGCTCCTGCAGCCAACTAGAAGCCGTACATTGATCAAACGGACTCCTGGAAGGGATTAAGTTCGAGAACCAAGGTACCACTGTATTGTCAAAAGAGCCACAGATGCCAAACCAAAATGGCTGCTGCTTCCACAGGAGGCAGTGAGGGTGTCACCAACTTGTAGGGCACCCGCTTTTAAGTCAGAGAGACAGATTGGGAATGCAGCTGGTCTACTGTTGCCCAGCAATATCCCTGGTTTGGTTGGCTAAGGTTTTCTCTGGTGTATTGTTGGAGGACCCCAGGCAATACTCCTAGGTGACTTCAATATCCATGTGGAAGCTACTGCCAGCTAGAGACTTAATGCCCTCTATGACAACCATGGGTCTCTCTCAAATGGTCATTGGTCCAACACATAAGGCAAGCCATCCACTTGAGGTCCTATTCATCCAAGTGATATGAGGGATGGAATCAAGATAGGATAATCATAGAATTTTAGAACTGGAAGGGACCCCAGGGCCATCTTGTCCAACCCCTGAAATGCAGGAATCTCAGCATATTGTCCCTCATCCAATTTGAATCCATACCAGAACATGCTTAGCTTTGCAAATGTGCTGGTGGTTTTATTGCTGCACCACTAGGTGCACTTCCACCTGCTGATAGACTTCAAACACCATCAGTGAAGCCCCCATGGCCAGTGGATAGGAACTATGGGAGTTGTTGTTCAACAGCATCTGGAGGCACCGGGTTGGACTACTTGAGCATCACTCATCTGTACTATTCTCTGTTCCCAGCATTTAGTTCACCTTCTTTCCACAGCCACTACTTCTTGCCTTTAAATTAGGGTTGCCATATTTCAATCAGTGAAAATCTGGCCACAAAAGCTGTTGAGTGTTTTTGTTTGTTTCTTTGTTTGGTTTTTTTGTGTTGGGGTTTTTTTGGGGGGGGTCAAAGTTTTTTAGCTATTTTTAAGTAAATTCGCCAAAAACGACACTGCCAATGTGGATTGCCATGTCTGGATTTTCACGGACACCCCCCCCCCCAATTTCCACCTAGACACTGCTTCCAACTGCAGTATTCTGGCTATGTCTGGGAAATTCTGGACTTATGACAACCCTATCTAAACATCATTCATTTGTTGATGCCACAGCCCCCTGACTCTTCCAAACCTAGTTCCCTCTACTACCTTGTTTTTCTATGACACCCAGAACAACACCGTTGTGGCAGAAAGGCTGAGATAATAGGATGTAGGTGAGTTGCTGGCAGTGTTTGGATGTTCATTTCTCAGCTTAATAAACAAAGATATGACTAAGCCTTGGGTATGTCTCTGCATCCACTTCCATTCTTCCTTATTGGTGTGTAAGTCTCCTATGAATGATGATTTTACCCAAACTGGGAAATAATAGTTGCCAATTTCAGAACAAGCCACAACCTTAAACTGCAGCTTCGAGCTGGTTTAAGGTCCTGTATTGTTCCCAAGCTAGTAAATATAGTTTGCTAGATGAGATGAAACAGGGAAATGCGGTTAATTGGAAACTTTTGTGCTGTATTCAGACACACTGTTAAAGGAGAATAGAAAGGACTGCATGTACTGGCATGAGACTCATCATATTTCAGACTTTTATGGTGAGATATGGTTGTTCAAAATGGGGCATTGCCACGCTTAATATATTATTATTGTTGTTGTTGTTGTTATTAATTATAATTATTTTCTTTTTACACAAATTGTAACCATCACAGAAATACCAACAAGCAGAAAGAAGCCACAACAGCTTCCTCTGATGATGAGAAAAATGCTACTAAACCTTACATTTTCACTCTTTTATTAGAATAATATAATAATAGTTGGAAGGGACCCCAAGGGTCATCAACTCCAAACCCCTGCAATCCATGCCTCCTTCTTAATATTCATACTCCTGGAATTTAAAAAAATAGTAAAATGCAGCTCCATCCTCTTGAGCTACGGTTAGCCCTTGTACTATATACAATATTGTTGTACTATTACTGCACAACAATAATGAAGTCATCATTAAGCTTATTGTTTGGATGATGGATACTGAAAGCTGCTCCTGGGCTTCCATGGAGAAGAATATACTTGTTATTGTCTATACATTGTCATCATTTGTGTTTCAAGAATTCAATTTGCTTTTCCTTTCAGATTCCTGGAGCGGGGGTGGGGGGGAGCACTTGTAAGTTATTCCATTAAATGTTAATAACATCAACTAGAGGTGTTGTGAAATTGCTTTTTCTTTTCTGCTTCTGCTGGTCCTGGAAACCAATTTATCTCCATGATATCTTGCAATCGAAGGAAGGAAGGAAGGAAGGAAGGAAGGAAGGAAGGCAGACCCCTAGCAAAGTTTCACGGCAACCAGCATCCTCTTAAGGCATACTCTTCAGGTGTCAACTTCAGGCTACATGTCACCAGTGAGGACAAAGTAGGGTTCCTCTAGATGATACAATGGGTATGTACCCTTTCCTGATGTTTTGTCAGTATATAATCTAACAACAGCTTTTCTTCAACCGGAACTCACCAGAACTCAGTTGCAGCACCTCTCAAGTGGGAGCTATTGCCATTCTAAGCGAACAAGGGAGGAGTTCATGGTGAGTTCTAGGACCTTTTTTTCAAAATAAATAGCACTGAATCCAACCATCAACATGGTGCTTGCAATTATGGCTATTTTGCTAGTAAAATGGTAATCACTTCTGTATGAAACCTGCCCTCTATTCCGCCCCCCCCCCCCCCCAGGTTTTCTTCCCTTACAAAAGTGGCTCCTGGTTTATTTTATTTTTATCCTGCATCTTTCTTGGAGTGCTTTAGAATATATTTAGAATATCTTTATACTTTTGGCAGCTGTAGGGTTAAGCTTCCCTCTCTGGTACAATGTGGCTGAGGGTGGTGCTTACACCTTCCTTCCATTCAGCCATTTTTCTAGGGCTTTGTGTTCTCCTCAGATGACCACACTTCCTGATCCAAGGTGAGGAAGCACACAGGAAAAAGCTATCACACAGTCTCTTCCCCTGGGCTTTAGTTGAAGCCCAAAGAAGCTGATGATTCTGGTTATCAAGTGCAGGGAAGGCCATAGCTCAGTGGTAGAGAACCTGCTTTGCAAGGACAATGTTCCAGTTTCATTCATGGCACCTCCAGGCAGGGCTCAGCGAAACTCCTGCCTGCATGCAAAAGCTGGGTAGCTGCTGCTAGTCATTGTAGATAATACTAAGATAGATGGATCAATGCTGCTTCCTCTGCACCTATATGCACCTGAGATCAGAGAAGTCTTTACTTTTAGTTTCTTTGGGGTGGAAATCAATCCACACTGACTTCTTTGAAAGAAAAATAGAATTTCCTCAACAAAACAGCAACCAACAGCTGCCAGAAACACAACTGACAATTTCACTAGCTGCTTACAGATATGTCCTGCCCAAACTATCATAGGATTTTCAGGAAGTGTGGGCTCCTGGGAATGTTGACGAATGCAGACCACCGGAGAGATGATTTGCAGAAGGAAGGAAGACCCTAAACCATTTTGAAATTATGCTATGCACATGGATAAAAAACACCCCACACTTGACCCATGAGAATTCCACCTACAATTTCTCTCACCTTTCATAAGTCTCAAGCAAATTTATTTCCTTCTTAATTGAGGGAGAATGGCAACACACACCATTTTCAGCACAGCACTAATTATAATACTTAGCAGACCTTTCAGACAGACATCACAAGGATGTGAGTGGGTGGAGACTAGAAGAAGCTTTTAAAATGATTTATTGAAATCAGGGCTTTCGATGTTCAGTTAATAGTCACAGGACAAACCTTTGACTGAATAAAGCTTTGCCAAAGTAAATCAATTTGAGTTACTGTCCTCCTTCATCTATGCCTGAATCTAGAAACATGTTGCATTCATTGTTTGAACATATTTCATAATTCAACAGTTTGCTTCCTCCCCTTGCTTAGCTATGGATATGTGTCATTTTATTTATTTATTTATTAAAGCAATTGCCTTGGCAGGATGAAATCTGGGAATGTTTAGTCAGGATGTTGATTGCTCTTTTTGGAAACATCTGGCCCAATTAAAGTCAGGCTGTGGATGCCATCTCATCTGAGTGGCACAGGGAGGTTAATTTGAATGTGCCCCAAAGGCAAAAATCTGTTTGGTGCCTTTGGCGGTGGGGAGAGTCTAATCAATAAGATACATATTTTTGTGATGGATGCACACTTTTTACAAATAGATAGAAACAGCTTGCCTCTTTTTGTTTCCAAATAGGCCTCTGGAGTTTGAGCATACTTTCAATAGGCCATGGCTGTGGAATTTCCAAATCCTGAAAATTGAACGATATCTTAGGAATCAGAGGTGCACCAAAGCAAGGCCTATTGCATCTAATCAGGCACCCAAGTCAGCATGTATAGGATTTCACCATACATTTTTGTCCTCGTGATTTTTAATTGCATGATAATATTTCATTATTATTGTTAGCCACCCAGAGAAATGGGCAGGGCTCTTCTTGTTTTCTTCTTTTATGAATTGGAACTAGTGGTGCTGCTCAGGGGAAGCTCATGGAGGTGAGCCCCAAGTTTTTTACAGTACCCAGATCCCATGCCCCTTTCTCTTCCTTTTGTAACTGAAAAAAATGATTTTATTATTTATACTTCAAAGTCCACCATCTTCACTCACTGGATACATTTATTGCGCATCTAATTATCCATATGCAAATTCTATGCAAATTTGACCATGTCCTTAAAGTCCTTTAAGTAGTACCAAGTACCTAACACAGGGCTGCCACCCGTCGGGGCAGAAATCAGTAAGATGTCCAGGGAAATCTGGTGAGACTTCGTCAAAAAAAAAAGAAAAAAGCTTAACAACTCTGGGCAAAACTTTAAAAAGCTCCACACTTTTTGAAATATGGCAACCCTAACCTAACAACACTGGTTGGAATTCAGCTGAAAGGACGAATGGCATACCTAAGTGCAGTCTGGAGTGGAGCTATGCACCGGATGCTGGTTCTTCTTTTTACTAGCGCAGGTTGTGCACGGGTGAATGGGACATTGCATTAGTTCCTCCTTACATGCAGGAACATGACTGGGATGCCAAGTGTGGATGCAGACAACTGCACACGTTTTTTGTTTTGAAAGACAACCTGACATTGGGGACACATGTAAAAGCAAGGCCCGCTGCAGTCTGCAGGAACATAGGAGTACAGTGGTACCTCGGTTTAAGAACAGCCCTGTTTACGAACTATTCAGTTTATGAACTCTGCAAAACCGGTAGTAGTATCCTGGTTTGCGAACTTTACCTCGGTCTAAGAACGGAAGCCAAACAGTGGAATGGCACTGGCAGCGGGAGGCCTCATTAGGGAAAGTGAGCCTTGGTTTAAGAACGGTTTTGGTTTAAGAACAGACTTCTGGAACAAATTAAGTTCGTAAACCGAGGTACCACTGTAGTCTCATAGTGATATAGGTTTGGGTCCCTTCCAAACCTGTTATCCTTTGTTAAAGCAATGGTATCTTAAAGAGTTAGCTAAAAAGAGATGTGTGGCCATAGTGGCAACTGAACATTCTTCCAGAAAGCGATAGGCATTTCTCCACCCACCTCATTTGGCTGGAGACCATGTCATCCTAGGAAGGAAAACAATAGGCCAATGGAGTTAGTTTTTGTGTGTGGATTTTGGCTGATGCTGGAAGCTGGAGACACAGATGCTTGTAGTGCTCTGTGATGAACCCAAAACTCTGCTTTGGGGATCCTCTGGGAATTTAATGGGGAGGCAAGATCTGTTGCAGGGTTAATGCTGTGAGCCCATTCAACTTGTGCTCAGATGTGTGTATATATATATATATATATATATATATATATATACACACACACACACACACACACACACACACACACACACAAATTCATATGCTATGCCCTAAAGACACCACAGTCTCAACTGACCTTCATTCTATGGAAACTGAAATCTGAGTAAGTGCTAGAACCCCTGGACTCCCTTATGCTCAGAGATTGGGGTGTGTGCAACAATAGGAAGCTGCCTTATACTGAGTCAGATGATTGGTCCATCTGACTCAGTGCTGTCTATAGTGGCCCAGCAGCAGCTGTCCAGGGTTTCAGACAGGAATCTCTCCCAGTTCTTCTTGAAGATGCCAGGAATTCAGCCTTGAATCTTCTGCATGCAAGGCAGGTGCTCTGCCACTTTGCTTTGGCCCTTCATGTACTTGGAAATGCCCTGCCCATGAGTGACACATGCAAAGGACATGAATTACAGACCAAATGTATGCTCTTTATCTTGAAAGGCCTCTCTCTGCCCATCTAAATTAAAGTTGGTCATTTGTTTGTGTGGTCTCCCATCTCTCAGTATGATGTCATCAAGTTCTAAAAAGACATACTCCTGACTTTCTTTTTAGGCAACAAGAATGGAGCCATCCCTCTCATAACCAATTTTGAAGCTGAAAATACCTTTATACCTCATTGGAAACTGACAGGTAACTGGCTGTTTTGATCTTGAACATCTTTTTGACTCTGCATATCATATTCTGTTGCGCTCAGGTGCACCTATAACTAAGTTAAGTCTTAAAAGTTCTCTACCAGAAACAAAAATTGTCTGAATAGTAATCATAATCATATCATCCAAAACAATAAGATAAAATCCAGAAATCAACATTTCAGCCACAGAACAGTGTGTGAATGTGAATGAGGGCCAATTGGCTTAATGTTCACACCTCTATTGAGGAGAATCTGTCCCCCCCCCCTCTTTTTTTTCTCTTTGATGCAAGACATCCAGAGTAGTCTATGAACAAGCTTGAAGGCAACATTGATTTTGTGATCTTTTCTTTTTCCTTGAGAGAATTGCTAGTGCCAGCTAGTAATTGCATAGGGAGAAGTATTGGAACGATTTATATATCCAGAGGATTCCCTTCCTATTTGTGGCTAAAATGAACTAAAAACGTGTTTCCTCCCCCACACTTTCCCACCAGTGGGATTGCTTCACAGATACCTTAGATGATCTTCAGAAAACTGATAAACCTGAGGACAGTTCAATACAACCAGAGATGTTGCAGCATTGAAATCCATGCTGGAGACATGATACTAAGTGCCCACAGTGCTGCACATGGAAAGCTGTCTTATACTGAATCAGACCATTCACCCATTAGTATTGTCTGCACTGACTGGCAGCTGCTCTCCAGGGTTTCAAGCTGATATCTTTCCTAGCTGTGGGGAGATGGGTAGCATTGAACCTGGAGCCTTGTGCGTGGAAAGCTGCCAGCTTTTCCAACCATTGACTGTGGAGACCATGTAGGAGTAAACCATGTGTTTTGCCCTGAGCATTCAGGAGTAAGAACACAGATACAAGACAAGAGTAATACAGTAAATAAAATTCCTTTCTATTTGTGTTTTTTTTTGGGGGGGGGGAGCCACAGTCCTTCTGTAGTTCTGCCTTCCACAGTTCAAACTGGTGTGGAGATGAAATTTTATCCCATGGTTTTCCTCAACAATTATCCAGCAATTAATGGGAAAAGAAACTACATTTGAACATTGTCAAAGAAGGGGAAAAAAGTCTTGGTGAATTTTACATGGATGGGCTGCAGAATATTCATCATTCTTGCCTCACTTCCAAGGTGGTGATGTTTGTCAAGGAAAGTATTTTATTTCATTCTGCAAATCATCTCAACAGTAGTTTCTGCTTGGCAGCCTTACTGCAGTTTCCATCCCCATCATTCAGCCCGGAAACTGAGGTCCAGTGCTGAGGGCCTTCTGACGGTTCCCTCACTGTGAGAAGCGAAGTTACAGGGAACCAGGCAGAAGGCCTTCTCGGTAGTGGCACCTGCCCTGTGGAATGCCCTCCCAGCAGATGTCAAGGCAATAAACTGACTTTTAGAAGACATCTGAAGGCAACCCTGTTTAGGGAAGTTTTTAATGTTTGATGTTTTATTGTATTTTTAATATTTTGTTGAAAGCCGCCCAGAGTGGTGGGGTAATAATAATAATAATAATAATAATAATAATAGGTGCCTGTGCTTCCTGAAGAGCAAACAAACATCAGCTGTACTAGCCTGCAAGTTTATCAGGTCCTGTTTGCAGGCACCCCAGATAAATTTGGTTGGACATTGTGAGAACTGGACTAAGGCCACATTCACACCATACATTTGGAGCACTGTGATACTACTTTAAGCAGTCATTACTATATCCCCAAATCTCTGAACCATACAATAATAGTTGGGAGATGTGGAGAACATTCAACACTATTTGTTACAATGCCCATTATATACATCCCCTAGACAAAAATTCCTTGATTACATCCTTTGCTCTCTCTCCAACCGACCTCCCCTTGAGCAAATCTCTATTTTGCTGGCTGGCAGTAATGTATTTATTACTGCACAGGTTGCAAAATTTGCCTTGGCTGCAAGTAAGTTGAGAGCCAGGCACCAATAAAAGTATCATAAGGGGGAGTGTGAGAAGTGGAGAGCTTAACTTATGCAGGTGTGATTTTTGCATTTTTATATGTTTGCTTTGCTGTTGTTGCTGTTCAGTTTTAAATTAAATATTTGTATTTTACGCTTTGTGACCAATTGTAACAGCTTATAGCTTTTAGCAATAAAGATTTCATTCATTCACTTTAAGCAGTCACTGCTTCCACCAAACAATGCTGGGAGATATAGTTTGTTAGGGGTGCTATATTATTATGGGATTTTTTTTGTAGTGTAGGTTTGAAATGATTCCTGCTTTGCTTGTACAGTGATACCTCAGGTTACATATGCTTCAGGTTACATACGCTTCAGGTTACAGACTCCGCTAACCCAGAAATAGTGCTTCAGGTTAAGAACTATGCTTCAGGATGAGAACTGAAATTGTGCTCCAGCGGCACGGTGGCAGTGGGAGGCCCCATTAGCTAAAGTGGTGCTTCAGGTTAAGAACAGTTTCAGGTTAAGAACGGACCTCCAGAACAAATTAAGTATTTAACCCAAGGCACCACTGTAAGACCCTTTGAGCATGATTTGTATTGCGGGGGGGGGGAGCAGCACACAAAGAGAATGAATGAATGAATGAATGAATGAATGACTTATAAGGAGGCCCTTATTTCCCTCGCAGTTCCTTGTAAAGACGGATAGTTAAACCACTCTCTGAAGGGAACAGCAGATCTGCTAAGAACTCTCATCACACTTAACAAACTTCAGCTTCCAACTATAGCTTCTTTGGAAAAAGTCGTGGTATCTTAATGCTTTAAATGTATGGTGTTAATGTGGCCTTGATGGGCTTTGGGCCTGATCCAGTAAGGTTGCTCTTATGTTCATATGAAGAGATGAGCCAGATTGATGGTCTGTGTGTGTGTGTGTGTGTGTGTGTGTGTGTGTGTGTGCATTTTCAGTTGACTCCAAAGAGGAAGTGATGCTGCTTCGCACTGACGGCTGCTTGACATGCGAACAGCTCTGCTCTTCCGTGCTTCCTTTTTACTCCCTATTTGCGGTATCAGATTATTGGCAGCAGAGAGTATTGCCTATCACATGCACACATGCAGCATCCTTAAAGCCCTCTGGCTGTTCTTTTTTTCTGTCTTTGACTGAAATGTGTCAAGTCAGATTTCCCTTCTTTTCACCCCCAAATAGAAAGTCATTTTCTCTGACGCTTGGGATTTGTGCCAGTGACTCTGGGTGACATGTAACCCTCCTTGTTCCTGTCTTGGTAAAAAGCGAGCCAAATGCAATTGGTGGAGGGGGAGGAATCCTCTCCTTCCACCTTCAGGTGGGAAGCACTGCTCTCTCCAGCCATATTTAAAACAAACGGTTGTTCTGAAGGACTTTCACTACATTGGAGTCGTGGTTTAGTAATGGGGCCTGCTTTTGGGTTCCTCAGTTCCCTGGCCCAAATAAATATACCTTGGCTTCATATCCCCCATTGACCTACCTGGTGAATTGCTGAGTGATAAATACATGCCAGCCTAGCATCTGTCCAATTGTGCTATCAATCAGCTGTGACCTCTCATTTTATTGTTCCTATTGCATCTCCACCCCCCCCCCAATTATCAGCAGCATTGCTTAACCTTGCCACAGTTTCCTTCAGGAGTAGGGCACCAATTGTAAGTATTTTTAGAGGTCCTTCAAGGTAGGAACTGATTGCACTGTATTAAATTGGTTTTAAAACCCAACTACCTGGGACGCAGGTGGTGCTGTGGGTTAAACCACAGAGCCTAGAACTTGCCAATCGGAAGGTTGGCGGTTCGAATCCCTGCGACGGGGTGAGCTCCCGTTGCTCGGTCCCTGCTCCTGCCAACCTAGCAGTTCGAAAGCACGTCAAAGTGCAAGTAGATAAATAGGTACCGCTCTGGCGGGAAGGTCAACGGCGTTTCCGTGCACTGCTCTGGTTCGCCAGAAGCAGCTTAGTCTTGCTGGCCACATGACCCGGAAGCTCCCTCGGCCAATAAAGTGAGATGAGCGCCGCAACCTCAGAGTCAGTCACAACTGGACCTAATAGTCAGGGGTCCTTTACCTTACCTGGGCTCAAGAGATGGTGCTTGATGGACTAAAAAGCCAACGACTTAAAATAGATGTAAGTTAAAAATTACTCTTTGCATCTGTGCATAAGCTCTTTAGATATCCTGAGCTGGATAAGAGTATCCTGGGTTGCAGTACTTACTTTGTCTTTGAGCTTGACATTACAATATGTGAATTCCTGCGATTTCCCTGGGTGTCCCTGGGGGAGTAAGATAAATCGGATCTACCCCTCTGACACTGCATTCAGAGCTCTAAACAGAGAGGTGGGTCGGATGCTGGACCTCCCTGCCACCACCATCTTCTCAAACATGCTGGCCCAATGGACATTTGAGTTCTGCCATCAGTAGGGTAAAAAAAGGGGCTTCCAGAGGCATTCTGAGAAACAGCTTGGATTCAAAGTCCTCTGCCCTGGTCTCCTGACATGCTGCCCCAAACCTGTACAGAGATATAGTCACACTCTTGAGCATGATTGTTTCCAATGGAAAGACAAACATTGTATAGCAGAACTTGAGGCTTACATCATATATCCCCTTTAGGATCACACTGTAAGAATTATAATTCCATGTCAGGAACTGTGGACCTTGACAACATTATTTCCTGCAAGCGCCCCACTATATGTCAGGAGCAAGCCAGTAGTAATTCACATGAAGTAAGTGAACTCTTTATTAGAAGAAACAGGATCTGCGCAGGAGTGTCAGGTCTTCTTCAGGGTCTTGCTCCTACAAAGCAGTTGAGGAGACTGAAGGTATCCACCTTCCCATAACAGTCCCCTCCTCCCCAGAAATATGAGACTGTGCCTGCATGATCTTCTTTGCTGCTTCATGTCTCTTTTAGTTCTGTGAGATCTGGGGGAAAGGGAGCTTATTGCAGCAGGAGGGCTAGACACCCTTCACCAGCTGGACTCTCTGCCTCTTGGTCTCTCTCCTCTCCTGCTTCTGCTTCTGTTTCTGCTTCTAGACTTCTCCCTGCCACAGACTCTTCCTGCTCACTAAGGCCTCTTACTTCCTCAGCTTCTGACACCTCCTCCCCCAGTCTTCTCCCTCTGATCACTTATCATCGTCCCACCACCAATCCCTGAGCTCTAAGCCTTCTTCCCTTGGGCATTCCCCAGCTGATTCCTCCCACCATTCCTCTGCGTCCAACCAGTCCCTGACTGCTCTTCCATATGAAATGCACCTGTGATGGTAAATACTGTGTGACATAACCAGTCCTCTAATTTCTGAGTAAGTTTATTTTCTCCCATGATAGAGGAGTCTATGTTTTTGCCATGTTATCAGGATGCTTTATAATCTATTCAGAATTTCAGTGGGTGTGAAACTGAGCGTAAGCTATTGTTATAAGGTGCCTATGGGTAGTGTGCATTTTCCTTCTATTAAGCATTTCTCCAGCATTCTTCAGATCCCTGGCTAGCTGTTCTTCATGATGCAAAAAAACCCAACCCCTCTACCTTTAAAATATCGCGACCACAACAAAACTCTGCATCCCACCCATGAATATTTCACTAAAAAATCATGTCCCCTTTGATAATTTTCAAAGACCATTTCAAATGCAAAAAGGGGGGGAAATTGGGAAAGCACTAATTCTAGCTCTTAGGATGAGCAAAGAACT